TCAGTTTCCATAAAATGTTGAATAATTCTTATGTAGCTGAATGACTGGTGGATTCTCAAGGACCTCAGCTGCATGGAGTTAGTTGATTCTCCACGATGGTGGTATCCATATACAAGACTGCATGGTATTATAACCCAGCAGACCATCATCTGAGCAGTCTTAGATTAGTTACAGTTCTTTTGCCAGTTCTTCTGTGTTTATTTTTGTAGACAAACTGTGTGCTTCTTATTTTTACCAGAATTCTGGCATAGCTAATTCTTTGTAGTCAGTTTCCCTCACTTCGCCCACATTTTGTAATTTATTGTTTGATTCATTTGTTTGTAGATACTTTCTTGTGTCTTCAATTCTGTTTTTACCAGATAATTTGGCTTTTGTTTCAGTTCTTAAAATTATCGTCTCTCGTGCTTGGTTTCTGTTCTGTTCTTGCAAAGTCCAAACTTCATATCTGTATAACAGCATGGTTATTTCCAATTTTATTTTATTTCACTTCTCTTACTATTTGATCTTGCAGAATGTAGTGGTTGCTATATGTACCACCTGCTTTAACGCTCAGAAACATCATTTGATCACAGTGTGTAATTTTTGGTTTCATGTGATTCCCAATAACGAGTGGCTATTTATCTAAACCTCATTAACCTGTAATGGAGATGTAGTGTTTCCTGTGAGTTAGGGACCAATTCATCATCATCTCATCCTTATGTCATAGCAGGGATTGGTTCCAAGTCCGATTATAATTGCATGCCTTCCATCATGAATATTCAGGTGCCATGAAGCTGAATCTTTTTGTATTAATTGGATGAATTTCTAGTTACAAAGTCCTGATGAAGTCATTGGATTTTCTTCCATTGATCTAATCCTTCCGGCCACACTATGGCCCTGGGGTCGACTCAGCCTCTAACAGAAATGAGTACCAGGAATTAATTAAATAATTTTCCTGCCTAGTAAAGTGCTGCCGGCATGTAAGGCTGACAACCCTACCGCCATCTTTGAGCCGATTGTCTAGATCAAGGGTCTCCAAACTACAGCCCGCAGGCCACACATCCGGCCCATGAAAGAATTGAGCAAAAATGTGCCAATTGAACTAATTTTCCAATGAGTACTGGTAACAAGAATACTTGTTCATAGATTTCAAATTAATTAATTAATTAAGATTGTGTTTAAAATATATTGATATTCCGTATTATGTTAATATTAATATTATTCACAATTTTACTAATTCTGGACTGTATACTGCGCTGTATTTCTTCGTACTTGTTCGGCCCCGATCGGCAGTGTCACTTCGTGGCAATGTAGGTAGCGCGAGCAGTTCGTTACTAGCCGTCTTGTGCACAAGACTTCTTGCAGTGGTACAGTATAATTGTAACAGATCATCATCACCTCAATTTAATCAGATTTTAAGAATGCAAGAAGAATTCCATCATTCACATTAATTGTTTTATTATAATTTGTGATGAAAATATGAGCATTTGCTGCTACTGTCTGTTGTCATTAATATACGATAATTTATTCTCACGTACTTTGTATTTAGTATATGAAATTCTGTGCTTTCAATAAAACTCATATACCTAGAGTTATTAATTTCTCATTTTATCCGGCCCGTTGAAAGTGCTGAATTTCCTAATGTGGCCCGCGTTTCGAAAAGTTTGGAGACCCCTGGTCTAGATAATGTGTGACCCTCAACGTCTCACAGCCCTATGTGCCTTTACGGCCTATTACAGGGATAGCTTTACTTTTACTTTACTCACTGGTGCCCGATTAAAGATATTTTTATTGCTTTAAGCAATTGTGTTCCTTGAGTGAACAGCTCAGAACTTGTGTGGGTGTCCTTTATGCATGTTTCACCATTTCTGCTAGGTGAATCACTGTGGAGCAAGTTGACGTGATGTTTTGTGGCAGGATGTAATCGAGTGTATTCTGGCTGTGTGATGCATTTCAAACTGGCAGTTGAGTGAACCTGTTGATAGTCTTGTAGATGATAGCTTTTTATATTTCTGGTAGCTACTTCAGAAGTGATAGGATGGCAGTTAATGGATGTCTGTTCGTGTGTGCTGAACTGCGTTGCATTAGACTGAAAGCAGTAAGAACAGTCCCACCATTCCTTCACTATCCATGTGGCAAATGCACTTCCACAGTTATCTGCCTTCTGTGTTCCTGTAACACATGTAGTCAGCACTTCTCCATATATGACAGACCCAAAGTTTGATTATTGGCTCATAGTCTGTTATCAGGACTGGTTCTCATATGTAACATTGGCTTTCTAGCCATGACATGTGTTGAAGTTGTATGTTCTGGCATAATTGCAGAATCCATTCTGAGGGTGAATAAGTGGCCCAATGTGTAGGCCCCACAGTTGGAGTAAGGGTGGGAATGTGGAGCTTGGTGCTATACAGTGGTAAGGGGCGATGTCATAAGGAAGAAGGGTTGTGGAGGAAGGTGGGTGAGACCACACTCTACTTGCTCTGCATCCATCGTCACAAGTGAAGGTGTTCAGGTGCCTCATTATTTCAATGACTTCTCTGATGTTAAGTGTAGATGTGAGCTTTGAGAACACCATTGTGATGATTATGATGTTTACTTACTGGCTTCCAAGGTATGAAGCTGTGTACTCTGACAGAAAGGTACCAGTATTTCAGAGGAACCTGCTTCTTCCATCTGCATGGTAGATTCAGCTGAAGGAAGGTTCCTGTCTACAAGACTACACACCGTCATAGTTCAGAAGATCACATTATCTTTACTGCAGTCGCTCAGGGATTGATTGTGTTACTTTCTACATATGTGAGTTGTTTCTATAACAGGCCTCTGCCTCTTATAGAGCTGTCAAATTGGCTTGGCTTACTTTTGCCTGTAGTGATATATTCTGATTGTTATTTGACTTTCGTTGTTGTTACATATTAGTGAGCTCTCTTTGGTTTTCCTGGTGCAGAGATGGAAGACTTCGTGAAGGAGACCAGATCCTAGCTATCGATGGCCAGCCACTTGACTCCAACATCTCCCACCAACAGGCCATCAGCATCCTGCAGAAGGCCCGTGGGCTGGTGGAGTTGGTGGTAGCCCGCAGCGGGCCTGAAGAGACCCCCCTCACTCCACCATCACCTTCTCCCATCGACCGTTCCCCTTCAGCTGTCAGTGACACGTCAAAGGCCGGGTCCGACATGGTGGTGAGTTGTCTTCTTAGTGAACTTATGTTTTAATCTATTTTTGATGCTATGAATGCTGAGTATTTCTTAACTCAGTGACTCATCATGGCTGGAAGGAACAGATGCTTTCAGATGTTTATTGGAAGATGACAAAGTATGTACAATTTGTCCCTGTCCATATGGACTTGGTCTAAAAATTAAAACAAAATTGCTGAAGTTAGAAATGGGTATTCCAATTTAAACACTGCCCCACAGTATGCACTAGCCTGGAGTATCCTGGATGTAGCAGTCTAGGAGTTGCAGACCAGTACTCATTTGCTGCTGTGTATGTCTGTTGAGAGGACATTTATGTAAAGTGAAAGAAGATGTCACCTAAAATGGTTCAAGGCTGGTCACCAAACAAATGGCATCACAACCGTGTATATAATCAGAATAAAATGATTCTATCCTTAAAGTCTTCACTGCAGTATTGTGTATGTTTGGGCTTGTCCAGTGGTCTTCACATGCTGTGGTTGTGTATGTTTGGGCTTGTCCAGTGGTCTTCACATGCTGTGGTTGTGTATGTTTGGGCTTGTCCAGTGGTCTTCACATGCTGTGGTTGTGTATGTTTGGGCTTGTCCAGTGGTCTTCACATGCTGTGGTTGTGTATGTTTGGGCTTGTCCAGTGGTCTTCACATGCTGTGGTTGAGTAGACATGAAGCATGCTCAGTCTTTTATTTTGTAGATTGTATTTACTGCATACTCCTTAAGGCTCTTTTATAAGCTGCTGCCATCTTTGAGGAATGGTTTGAACTTCATATTTTTATCATGTGTAATGAAATAATAATTTATGTTGAGATAAAATCTTTTGGGATATGATGTTTCTGAAGCATTAGTATGAGGGCGAGCCTGTAAGTAGGTCACAAATGGATATAAAACATAAAACAGTGATAGTAGAACCTGGAAAAATATGTATTTCTTGACATATCATCCACTGACATTGATACACTTGTCCCATCGCTTTACCAATGTGTCAAGACCTGCAGCGTAGAAGTCTTTTGGCTGTTGTCTCAGCCACCTCAGCACCTATGTTTCAACCTCTTCATCATGAGCAAAACGTTTGCCGCCCAGCTGTGAACCACTTTACATAACACACTTCCCACCTTAGAAAGGAAACATTTCTTTATGAATATTCTTTGCATTGAGTCCTTTTGCCCACAAAATAACGCACAACAGAATGCTGCATTTTGGTAGTAGACTCCTTAAGCATGGTCACCATTTTGACTAGTAAATCCAGCCTTTGAACATGTGCATGCATGTCTGCTAGCTAGACCGTCATGAAGGTGGACTGTGTTGCAAACTAGTGATACACATAGGAAACCTGTTACATACTTTACAGCTGTTTTACTTCCATTTGTGATCTATTCACTCACTCTCCCTCATACATAGTGCCAACCTGTGAAGCTTTATATCCCAGAGGACTATAATCTTGATACTGCCATGAATTCCTCACATCTCAGTTGTTTGTATTTATCATCTATTTCAGTGAGACATGAAACAATTTCTTATAAGCGAGGAACCCTTCAGGGAAATAGGTTTGAATATCACTCTTTTACTGACAGTATTAATCATTCCTCAGGTAGTGAGCATGGAAGACGCAGTCCGTCACTAGGCAGGCCACTGGAGCACATTTAACTGTAGTAATGAAGATGCTGACATGTTAATAATCTGATATTTATTTGTGTTTGAGATTTTCAGTTTATAACAGCAGACATGTTGCTAAGATTATTGTGAGATATGACACCGTGTAGTTTTGGTAGGCAGGTACCAGCATTTCAGAGGAACCTGCTATTGATGCCATTATATTTCTTCAAAATATTGGTACCTATGTATGAAACCACATGTTGTCACATTCTTAATTGTCATCGGCACGGGAACTGAGACTGGCATATTGTGCTTCTGTTTCCGCAGCTGAACACAGAGTGGGCACAGGTTGAGGTGATTGATCTGATTAACGATGGCTCAGGGTTGGGTTTTGGAATTATTGGTGGTCGCAGCACTGGAGTTGTAGTTAAGACCATCCTGCCTGGAGGGGTTGCAGACAGGGTGAGTGCTGAATGTTGTGGGCCTGAACAACTTGGACATTCCATTATTGTGCTTATGTGAATCAAGGTGGCACTAGCCAGCACAGACACAGTAGACTGATTTTGCATTATGCAGCGTTTGAAAGCTTGAAGTTATTTCAGTTATTCATAGATGTGAGAAGCTGATGGCTCTGTAGAAGTCTGCTGAACATACGGGGGTTCAGTGCATGTTGTATCTCACTAATGTCATTAATCCCACTGCATTAATTTTCTGAGTCACTGTCTTACTTGTGAACTAGAGTTAACTCACCATTCTGCTAGTGCATCTAGATCTAGCTATGAACGTGGGGGTACAAGTGTTTGCTAATGCATTTGTAATGTGATGTTTCTGTTGCGCAGGATAACCGCCTGCAAAGTGGAGACCACATCCTACAGATTGGTGAAGTTAATCTGCGAGGTATGGGCTCTGAGCAGGTGGCAGCAGTGCTGCGACAGTCTGGCAGCCATGTTCGCCTGGTGGTTGCTCGGCCTGTTGAGCCCACGTCTCCAGACTATCAGGTGTGTTAAGTCTTCGCCTGATGTATAAATTGCTTAAAGCAGGCGAAAATTGTAATTTGGGTGGTTGTGGGCATGGAGTGGTGCCATGTTTAATGTTGTTTGGTGGGTAAAAGTAATAATAGCTCAAGGGTTGCAGTGGTGGGTTATCTCTGGCCACCTCAGTTCAGAGATATGAAGAGGAAGATGGAGAATATCTTTGCATTTCTGCAGCTCTTATTTTCATTTATCCTGCTTCTTGTTACGTATTTTGCCACAGTGAAAGTGTTAAGTGCAGGAAGATGAAACTTTGAATGCTGCAGGAAATGTGAGTGGCCAGTTCTAAACAAGTTTTAAAATTATATTAGAAGTATTAAAGAGTCATGTTAGGTCTGATGGCCTAAGCCATGATATTGATGATGATGATGATGGTGATGGTGATGACAGTGATGACAGCCTTATAGCTTCCAGGGTTTTGTGTCATAAATTTATTTGTTCTGAAGGTACTATACAAAGAGGAGCTGTTGTATTTATGTCATGAATTATGTGCACTTGTATGGTATAGAAAAATGTCATGTTTGCTACTGTCTTCATGTTTTCTTTGGCCCTTCATGGGTTTGCTGTTATCATTTGCCACAGTAACCTCTACTCCCAGTCTCCATCTTCCAAATGTCAATCTACCATAATGGGCTTAATGTGTATCATTTACTTATATGTGTCTTCTCATTATTCTTTCTCCTTTTCCTGTGTTTCATTACAAATATTTGTAAGGCTCAGAATTACTGATTTCCCTGAATATAGTTTCTGAAAAATAGTTATCTTCTTGACCAGTTGAATAATTATGAAGTTGAGGATGGCAAGAGTACTTAGTCAGTCAGTCAGCTGGAGTATTTACAATCTAGAACAGACAAGACAGGTGAGTACTTCCCAGAATAAGGAAAGGACCAAACTATGGTGACATGCTCCAGTGTCCTGCAGTTTCCTTCTAACAGCAGTCTCTGTCTTTATAGGCTCTAGGTAGTCATGCCCCAATTGTCCCCACAAAGATCCTGGGAGATCCTGATGAGCTGGACCGCCACCTCCTCCAAAATGGCTATCCTGAGACATTCAACCCCCACACACCAGGAGGGGACACGTATGATAGCCAGTTCATCTTCAGCCAGCAGGACTCAGAGATAGAGCTTCATGTGAGTAGCACTGAAACACACTGTGTTGTTTCTTCTTGCATACCTGTCAGAGATCTGTGTGGTCTTATGGACCCTCTGGTTCCCCAGAGGTTCATTGCAACGTTCAAAAATGTTATGTACCCTCATCTCCCCCATGCATGAGCCCATTACCTAACCCACCCATCTCACCCACCTAGAAAATCTTCGGTGAAGTGTACAAATTATGAAGCTTCCCATTATGTACATTTCCTCCATCTTTCTTCAGTAAAGATGTTCTCCTCAGCATTTTCTTCTTGAACACCCTGTACCTGCCTTCCTTACAGTAAGAGACCAAGTTTCATACCCATACAGTACAGCAGATAAAATTGTAGTTTTGTATATTTCAGTCTTAATTTTTTAGTAAGAATGGAAAGACACCTTATGTGTGCAGAAATATCAGAGGTGTTGTGACTCAAGTTATGTGGATGCGAAGGCCTGTGGATATTTGTGGGGAATTTTGTGACAGCTACTTTAAAAGAATCAGATTTGCTGAGCCAAATAACAGATGAATTTCATTTTTGAGATTTTAGGTCTTCAGACAGTAAAGGTTTAGATTATGGTGTAATGGTTGGTTACCAGTGTTTTGGAGGAACCTGCTGCCTCCATCTTCATGTTATACTTCTACCCTGCCAGACTGCACAGTGTCAGCAGAAGACTGTGATCAGAATTTTAATATATCAAAATATTTTTAAGTTGTATGCAAATGTTTGGCTGCATTTAGTTTGAGGGAGTTACATGTTCTGTTGCAGCCGGAACCAAACCTGGTTGTTGATGTTGTGAGAAACCCTCAGCCCATTGGAGCAGCTCCCCTGCTGACGACTACCCCCTCCCTCCCAATCCTTACCATGGACATGATGCCACTTGAAACACCACTCCCTGAAATGGAGAAGTTTACCGTGGAACTAAAGAAAGACTACCATGGTTTGGGGATCACCATTGCTGGATATGTCTGTGAGAAAGGTGAGTTGGTATTATCAGAACCGAATTAAATTAAAAACAAACAATATGGTCATATTTGTGAGATGTGCTAAAAGATTTCTGGATAGTTTCCTTCTCATTCCTTTGGGCTTCTGCTCCACCATGTGTCTTCATGGTGTGGTGCTAAATTAAGTAAACACAGGGACAACTTTACTTTTTACCTATGTTTGGGGGGGGCACTTAACACATTTGTGCTAGGTCTCAAATGTTTATGAGAGTTTGTCACCAGAAAGTGGTGTAGGCCATTACCTCATCGTTATAATGTTAGTATATTCTTTTCTGCAACATATGATGGGGAAAGGAATCACCAGACTAGAGATATTACTGGACACATAGGACTTGTCTCAAGGTGCAAAGTACATACAGACTGTAGCAGCTGCACCGTGTCATCTCCTTCAGACTGGTTTCCATGGAAACTGACACACTGAGTGTATTCTTTGTGCATGTATGTAAGTTTGCAAGAGTACTGTTTGATTTTTCTCTTATCATGATGTCATCAGATCTCTTCTCTTGAGTAATATCTTGAATTTTGGAAAGTGACACATGGCTAGACCAAGGGAATATGGAAGGTTGGAGACAGCTGTCATGCAGTTTAAGGCTAGAGACAAAATAGAGTAAGGAGGAGCATTGTCATGGTGGTGATACCAATCCGTTGTGTGTCACCTTGCAGGATGATCTTACTTCAGAATACTTGAGCAGAAGTATGTGTTTATAGTTCTTATGTTCTCACCATATATCTTTGAGATATATTTTAATATTATCCTCTCATTTATGTCTAAATCAATTATTAAAAAAAATTGTATTAATTTCTTGCTCCCTCCTGTGCTTGTTACATCTCCTGTCCCTGTCATCCCTTTTGATGTAGTTATCTTAATATTGCTGGGTGTCTGATATTTGAGATTCTCAGGGTGTGCTGATTAACACAATATAATCTGGTGCATATTACCAATAATTCAGATGAACCTGCTGCCCCCATTTTTCACCTGAAAATGGAGACAGCAGATTCATTCAAAATATTGGTAAATACCTAGCAAACTGCATCGTGTCTTATGCCAGACATCAGGATTGGCAATACTATTTACTGTATGGAAAATCTGTGATCAGGTCTCATAGTGTATATTGTTGATTGCATTTATTTCTTATAAACATATACTGAATACTCTGACTGTACTGAAATTTACACACACACACACACACACTTTCTCATATACACCGTATGTGTATGAACAAATATTGTGATTGTGAAAAAACTTTTATCTTGAGATTATGACTGGAGTTTAACATTTTGAACCCCCACCCCCAAATATGAAAATGTGGTTTTTGGAATGCTATCTGTGTGTGTGGGGGTGGGGATGCTGTAGCAGTTGAGGCACTAAGCTACAAACTGGAAGGTTGCGGGTTTGAGTCCTGATTAAGTGGATTTTTTTTCAATTTACCTAATCATTTCACCCACACTATGGCCCTGGGGTCAACTCAACCTCTAACAAATGAGTACCAGGAATCTTCCTGGGTGGTAAAGGGCAGCCTGCACATAAAGCTGACAATTTTACCGTCATCTGTGGGCCAAGTGCCTGGAGAAAATATGGGAACCTCAACATTTCATAACCCTATGGGCATTCACAGCCTGCCACAGTGATAGCTTTACCTTTTCTTTTTACCTTTCCGTTGTAGGTCAGTGCTGGTGAATATGGATGTTATAAAACCAAAAACAGGAGCCCATCACAAGAGCCCTCAAGCACAAAACTGTTATTTTTTTTTAAAGCAGCTCAGAAGTTTTCCCTTAAATATGAATAATTTATGGAGACTCTGTTTCTGAAACAAACTGCACAGGTGTTATCTGCAGGCCCAAGATGTGCATTGCATTGCATTGCATTGCTTTGTCCTGATTCTGTCTATCTTAGTTTGAGCTTCACTGTGCTTCTTTGCAGAGGAACTGTCTGGGATTTTTGTAAAGAGCATCAGTGAAGGTAGTGCAGCCAACTTGTGCAAGAAGATCCAAGTTAATGATCGCATTGTTGAGGTTTGTAACCATGAATGATCCATTTCTGTATTTTCTGAAATGTGTGTATCTAATAACTTGTTGAATAAGAAGCATAGAGTGTGTCGGATTGGATTTCTCATGGCAGGACCATGGAGAGTATGGTATTCTTAGTTGTAACACTGTGTATTTTGCAGATAGCTCATTGTTTTGAGGAACATATCACCTCCATTCTCTGGGTCAAAGAGTAAGCCAACAAGGAATCCTCAGAAGCAAGCGGCATGCTGAACTCTGCTTGCCGCCTGCTTGATGCTGAGCTTTTCTGAACAGTTTACTTACTTTAAGAGATGTGCATCCATGTTTGTAATGTGCAGCATATTAACTGTGAATCTAGACTGCATTGTACTGGCATGTGATGATTATGTCCCAGCTAACAGGCAGTGGTCAGAGTTAGGCAGTTCAGCTCATTGAGGAAGGCTGTGTATATTAGAAAACTTGAATATTTGACATATCATCTGTTGAGGGAAATTTGGAAATTAATATGTATTTCTACCAACGTATGTGTGTGTAGCAATGACCATGCTAATTCATTACAAAGTAACATTTAGATTATTAACCTCTAACACGTGTAAACATTCTGTGTGTCACAGTGCATTCATGGGTTTTTGCAGGTGGATGGGCGCTCGTTGCAAGGATACACGAACCATCAGGCCGTTGAGGTGTTAAGGAGCACTGGGCAGACTGTCAAGTTGTGTCTTGAGAGGTACCTGCGTGGTCCCAAATTTGAGCAGCTGCAGCAAGCCATTGCCAACAGCGAGCTGAAACCCCCGACCCCTTCCTCACCCTCTGCAACATCACTGCCTCGCTTCCCAGTCAGCACAGTGAGTAGTTGATACTGAGTCCTGTATATTATGAAAGAGTTGTTAGGTTTGCAGCCAGTTGCCATGGAAGCTGAGCATTTCTGGTGTGTGGATGTTCTGATAGTGGATTGTTTGGTGTGTCCATGAAAGGTACAGGTTGTTGAAAATCACATTTATTCTAGCTTCATTAAACTAGAGATTTGTTTCTGTATTAATACATTAATTGGTTCATTATCACTCTTTTTGTACACAACATGATATCAGTGTTCAAAGAGCATTTCCTTTGATTCCTTGGCTTGTATTTTGTCTGCATTTCATCCTGTTGCTTTTCATCTCAGTATGATCTAAATACCCAAGTTTGTGTGCTTCTCCATCAGATATTTGTTTCTTACTTAGGACTTCTTTCACTTATATTTTCTCTCTAGGTCTTCTTATGATACTTTTTTTGAAGTATCTTCTGTGCTCCCTTCTGTGTGTATATCCAAGTACATAAACTACAAATTATGTATGTCTTTTAGTGACTTCTTGTTTTGTTCCCAACGCATAAATCCATTGAGAAGCCGACTACAAGTCTCACTGTAATCCTTATGAAGTGATTTTTGAGTTCAGGACTTAGTTGCTATGTGCTTATCTGTGCAGGATGGAGAGGAGACAGAGATTGAGGTGGAGGGCGAGTCACACACAACGATCGACTCCATGGTGCTAGAGCCTCTGGAGGCCACAAACCCAGATATAGTGGAGGACATGGAGGCGTTGATCGATACTAACTATTCTGGCAAGCTGAAACCTGCAGTTGAGGCAGCTATCAAGGCCAAGTGGGGGAAGATCATGGGACCAGACATAGAAATAGTGGTAAGTCATAAGTACAGGCTTGTACACCGCACAGTTATTAGTTCATTCAGTGTATACTGCAGCTGAAATGTCTTTGAGGTTGTGTCATTATCACGTTGTGACATAGATTGCTACCTTATCATTATATATATATATATTTTTTTATTGCTAGAGGGGTGGGACTAAGTCTCTTGTACTGTGGCCACTTCTGGCCTACTGTACCAGCCCCAGATGATAGGTGAGGGTGATTGTGGAGCAATTGGTTGAATGAAGATTAGCAAGGAAACTGAAGTACTCAGAGAAAACCTGCCCCAGTGCCACTTTGTCCACCACAAATCCCACTTGACCAGACCCGGGCCGTCGCGGTGGGAAGCCAGCGACTAACCGCTTGAGCTATGGCGCGGCCTTACCTTGTCATTATAAAGTTCTAGACTATTTTCAGCATACACTGAGAACCAAAATCACTGTAGTGTAGATCTTCTTCAACACATGGGACTTTTCTTCCATCAGGTTGCCCATTGCAGACGTGACATAATCTCAAAGATGTTTTAGATAGACAGTGGTTGGTAGGTGTCATGTGGTTTATTAGATTGGAAAACTTAGGATATCGGAGAGTCTTTCTTGCTTTCAAATTATGATGGCACAGATTTTGTGTATGTTGGTAATAAGTGTCTGATTACTGCTTTTACATTTGTGAGCCTAACATAAGTTTGTCCCTAATTAGTTAAGCTTTGTTCCTGAAAACAAGAGATATATGCCAAAGTAACTGTTTTGTTATAATTTTGAGTAAGAGAACAGACAGTCTGGAGATTTCATTGCTTTTTGCAAACCACATTTATTTTCACTGGCGAGTAATGTCTGAATGTCCTTGTAGGTTGCACAGCTGTGCAAGTTTGGTGAGGGTGGGGGCCTGGGAATCAGCCTGGAGGGTACAGTTGATGTGGAGGACGGCCAAGAGGTGCGTCCACACCACTATATTCGCTCCATCTTACCCGAGGGACCAGTTGGCAACAATGGATGCCTGCACTCTGGAGACGAGTTGCTGGAGGTGAGCTCTTGTGAAGATCATGAATGTAGGCAGGTGTTTCTGTGTTGTGTTTACAGGTTTTTGGGACAAGGCATAAAAATTGAACATAGGAAATGTTTGTAGTTTGTGAAGTTGTGTTAAGGAAAGAATGAACACAAATGTTCTCCTCCATGGCTACCTCCCCTCTGTCTTCACCTGCTTCCATAAATTGTCATGTATTGTGCTTTTTGTTTCTTCTGTAGGTTTCCTCCAATCCTTTCTTTCTTTCTTACTCTGCATTTTCAGATCCATTATGAACTTCCACTAACAAGTCATGTCATTTCATTTTATTTGTGATATTTACTGTAAAATGTATTATATTTTAATTTAAGCCAGTGACAGTAGTGATTACAGCAATGAGTTAATAATTAAGTAAATGGCTTCCTCCTCATAAGTCAGGGAGGTGAACCTGGACTGGTGAAGGAGTGGGTAGCAAGGGTCTGACTTGAACCCATACCAGTCCTGGTCATCCTTTCCCTGCTCTGAGTGTGAAGTGTGCATCTTCCTACCTCTTCATTATTGATCATATGTTTGTATGTTATTAGCCATTTAGTCATAAGGGCATAGATTCATATACAGTCAACTCTCGATTATCCGGGCTAATGGTGGGGATNAAGGTAAGTATTAGGAAGTTAAATTAGTCACTCTGAAACTTCACCACTCCACATTATGGTGTGAGGGAGGCTCATGTTGAGGCATAATTGCTGCACAGGTGAATGGACATCGTCTGCTGGGCATGAATCACATCGAAGTGGTAACCATCCTGAAAGATTTGCCAGTGAATGTGAGGATGGTGTGTGCACGGCGTCCTGGAGATACAGCCCCGTATCGACTGATAGACACCTCTCAGGACAGAGCAGCGTTTGCGGCTAGAGTAAGTGAGCCAGTCCAGAGGAGATCAGTGAGGTTGAAGGACTCAACTTTTTCTTGTTTTGTGGAGTATATTTATGGTATTCTGGTTCTGTAGGTTTCATGCTATGCTCAAAATTATTTTCTAATTATAGTTTAAGTAAGAGGAAAATGCAGTATAAACCCACTGCATGCCAAGCAGGTTGGCTTGAGTGGTAACACCATTAGCTTATGATCAGGTGGTGATCAGTTTGAATCTTAGCCGGAAGTCAAACGATCCCTGATGTTTTGCATGATTTTCTTCAGTCCCTCCAGACATGTCTGGATGGTACCTTAAAATACTCTTCTGTGGCTTCCGGATTCTCCATCAATTTTTTATGCAGTAATTATCCTTTCATTCAACTGGTCTAACCAGTCATTTTTCACTACTTTAAATGAGTAATAAATAAACATTGCCTAGTCAAGGAAGGATGTTGCAGTGGGCTGATGTGTTCATCTGGTCTTTCAGAGTATTCTTGGAGGTAGCCTGCAGAACTTGATCCCAGCAACAGATCGCCTTGTGAAGGCCAAATCAGACGGATCGCTGGCTTCCACCACCACCACAGCAACGGCCACTGATGCCAGCTTCTCCAAGATGAAGTCACGATCCCTTGAGCCACTGACTGGCTTGGCCATGTGGAGCTCTGAACCCCAGATAATAGAGCTGACCAAGGGAGAACGTGGGTTAGGGTTCTCCATCCTCGACTACCAGGTGAGAATGGGTTACACTAAGGCACCTCTTGTTAAGCCTCTCTCATACCACATTTATATCTGAAGGAGATGCCAAACAGGCCTGCCAGCTTACGTGTATCATGTTGTTAGCCCTTTGATGCTTCACATTTTTTGCTCTCTGTAGTGAGGTTTACTCCATTTTTGCAGTATCACTAAATGTAATCAAATTCTACAAGAAGTCATCTGCTTCATCATAATTACCTTCTTTATGATATGACTGATAGGAATGTAGCAGACTTTTCGCTACTAACACCCTCTGTTTCTTTTGTTTTGCCCCACATCCAATTAATACACAATCTCAAATTATTTTCACCAGCTAACAGTAGATAGCAGCTCATGTCAGGTGTCCCAAAATGAATATAATCGAACATGTATTGTGAAGCACATACATGTCTCTTATTTTCCTCAGGGGGTTAGGAAGCAGATGTCCCACACAGGATCTATTGCCACAATTATTGAACTGAGGGAAACGGGTTGGTATGCAGAACGTTGAGGGCCTGTAACCCATAACGAGATAAGTTTGTGCTTCTGGCAGATTATGTGAAAAGGAGACAGACAGGTGGGAGAGAGAGGAAAGACATCGGAGCAAGTCCCACAGAGATGGAGACAATAAAGAATCGCTGCCAGACGCTTGACAGTGCCATTGATTCTTCTCTGTGTTACGAGTCCTTGCTCCGACAAGTGCGCTTTCCATTCTCACCTGGGTGATTGAGCCCAGCTTTGTTATAGCAACTGATGATGCCTGAAATATGAGCACTTGAAGTGTTGAGGCTGATGATTCTGAGTTGGTCCCTAGTTTGTTTTCATTGACAATGTTCTCCCTTGGTTTCTTCTCATTGTCAGCATTAAAGAACCTTTCTGTTTGGTACAACTACATTGTTCACACTTTGATAGCCCCAAGTAGCAGAGTTTGACTGAAGTGTATGAACAGTTGTATTGCACAAAGCCTTGTACTTTGCACATTTCTTTCTTCATATATTCATAGTGTAAAATAGGACATTGTGCCCATTGGTTCATGACATGCAGTATTGGTGAGATCCCTGAAATTCAGTGTGCATTCCTGTCATGCAGGTTTGGTTGAATACGTAGCATTGTATGAGATTCAAGATTCTCACAGCAGTGATTCATATTACTACTGTCTTCTCCGTTCTGATGCCATGTAATCTGATAAGACAGTTACCAGGGCTTTAGAAAGATACATGGACTTCATCTTCAGAGCTCCTCTGCTTTGAAAGTGAAGGCACCAGGATCCTGCAAAATGTTGGTAAATGGCTACTGGACTACTTTGTGCCACGTCTCAGAAGACAGTAACATTGACAGCTGTCATTACCTCCTGTTGGGGGCTGGTTGCTATCGGCCTAACCATTAGAGGCCAGTAAGTTCCTTGAACCATTCATTCACTTTGGTTTCATTCCTGGCAGCCATAATGGTAATTGAATTCATGGCATTTGCTGCATATCAACATGAGTGTTGGTCCTCTCTTGCTTGTCATGAAATGAATCTGTTAATAACTTCACATGTTCTAGTAGAGTTTTGAAATTGATTGTTGCTGCCATAATCTGGAAATACAGAACATTTCATTGGCCTAAGAGTGAGTAGTCAAAAGTTAGGTTTCAAATTGCAATGTTCGTATTTTTACAAGAATTCTGCCGTACGGAATGAAGAAGGCAGATTGTAATTCACCGAATGGAAGTAATTAAATAACTAACTAACCATGAAACAGGTTCGTGTTTGAGAAGGTTGACAGCCCTTCATCTAGTCAAGAAAGTCATTGCATTTTATGAAAACCGAACGCACACTACTGTATTTGTAAGTGCCCCCCCCCATAGTGGTCCATATTCTGATTCAGATTAATCCAATTCCTACCCTCCCACCCTACCTCCTTGAAATGAGTTTGAATATTATCCACTCATCTGTGGCTAGATCTTCAAAATGGTCATTTTCAGGTCGTCTGACCACAATTTGATATGCAGTTCTTGAGGAAATTATGAAGCACCTCTGTATGCAGTTTTCTCCCTCTGTTACTTATTTCTCTTAGAACCAAATATTCTTCTCAGCATGTTGCTCTCAAATATCTGTGTTCTTCCCTTAATTTGAGAGACCAGGTTTCACACCCATATAAAACAATGACTTGTTGTCTGGTAATAGAACCTGAATGCCTAGCACCAGTAACGTAACACCCGCCATTGGACATGTCAGACCACTTCAGTCAATTTCACATCTTCAGGGTCCATATCTCTAAGATTCATATTAATCCAGCACCTCTACCTCCTCTTAAACTGATGGTTTTGAATGGTTTACTCACCAGGTTCTCTTTCTATTTCTGGAAAGTGACATACAGAAAATTGTTCCAAACCAGAAATAGGCACCTGTATTCTTCACATTCCAAAAGTTTTATTCCTGGTATAGGTTAAGGTTTGAATCTCAACATGGATCAAAGTTCAACTCTCAAAATAGTCAGTTCTCTTGTCAGAGTTCCCATAATTTGTAAGTGCAGTGTAGTGTAATGTCTGGATTATGCGTCTGCAGTAAGTTGTTATCCAGACCAATGCAGGATAGGGTGAGGCAGATATTATAGTGTTCATATCAGGGTAGCAGAAATTGTCTGCACTTGTGAATTACTATTTTCCTGAGGAAGATCCAGTGTAAGCAATAGCAGTAGATGAACCTCCTGTTCTGAAGAGAAGGAGATTGGAAATTTGTTCTTTGAATTAGCAACATTTTATGTATCATATTGCTAAGTTTATTAAACTTACTTTGTTTGACCAACATAGTCGGAATAAACTAATTGCCAGTGTTTGGCCAGAGAAGTGTGTGAAATGTAAGTGTTATGCTTTCCAAACTCATTTGTACTTCCTGCAAATTAATTTGTATGAAAAGGAAAATAGTTGCTTTGGTATAAGAAGCTATAAAACTCATGCCATTTTCTCTTTTTTTATAAGTGAACAAATAGAACAGATGTCAAAGACTCTAAAGAGAAAAACGGAATAGTCAGCTTATAATCATAATGTGGCAGTACATTCATAAAATTGGTTGGGAACATTGGACATGTATGGGAAAATTACAGTTGCCTTCTGCCAGAGGATAAGAAAATGTTAAACTAGACTTGTTTCTTCTACTTTATTGATATTTTATATTTCAGTATGTTTGGCATTGCTGTGAAACAAATGTAATTAGCTTGGCATAGTTTCTTTCAGAATTATCTGATACACATGGGGCCAGAAGAACCATATATTTTTATTGTAGACAATACATAGTAGTATAAAACAAAGTCATAAAGTACAAAAAATGCTACAGATGTATCTTAACCTCAGAATATGGATGGTCATGTTATTGGTGGAATCAGGTGCATATTAAGGCTTGATAGGGCTGGTAGCTCTTTGCGCTTATAATCAAGGAAGAAGCTGGTGCCGTGAGTCAATGGGTGCATTTAATGTACAAATGAGATCGCATTCAGTGGGAGTGTATTTCCCCATTTACTCTTATATCTACACTTGCTCAGTGTCGGTTCAGAGTCTCATTTTATGCTGTTGATGACGTGACTTTGAATATCACCAATTTCTCATTTGTGAGATTTGAGGTTCTCACAGTTGATGACTGAAGAATGTTGTCATTTGGATGTGATGCCATGAAGTCTGGTGGAAGTTTGGAGGAATATGCTGCCTCCATCTTCAGGGTGGAAGTGTAAGCTGAGTAAGCAAGCAGAATAACATTTACTCTGCCTGCCTCCTTCACTTAGTTTAGCTTAGCTTAGCTTAGCTTAGCTTAGCTAAGCTTACTTCTACCAGACTACTTGGCATCTTATTCTATTCAATTCCTTACTTACTATATCTCCATGCCTTTTCTGACCAAAAATCTATCAAAGTATAGCATAATACTCTCAGAGGCCTCCATGATAGTACACTCCCAAGTTTGAACATTTTACCATTTTGCGGTTGGTCTTTCCCACCAATAGTATTACTTGTTTGCATCATAGTGGGGAAATGTGGTAATGTTCATAACTCAGAGTGCTGTCAAGTGGGCCTGAAATAATTGTCTTCATCTCAAGTTTTCAGTGGGTTCTGCAGCACATGTGACTGCCACTCAGCATTATGAGTGTAACTTGTATTTGTAGTTAGGAATCTGTTGTGAGTTTGAGGAGTCCTGCCTGTTGGACTGATGACACTCACAGAGTACAGTAGTATTGTTGAAATATCTATGTGTTCATCTATACAAATGTAATTTGTTTTCTCTCATATTAAACATTTGTTCTTCAAATAAAACTGCTGTTTTGAAAACACTAATGCTTCATGTTTATCTTCTGGTTACACGTTTGAGTGTAGAAAAGTATAGAGCGGAGCTAGCAGAGTGTCTGCAATACAGATTTCTCATGTTCTTCCTTCAGTGTTGCATTCTCCTGTTTGGGCTTTATACATTTCTACAGTCAAGAGATTACTTTGACCCTCTTCAGTGGACCTGATCTGATCTTTGTCTCCTATCACAATGGTTTTGAGTTTGGAGGAACAGGTGTGATGAAGTTTTCTCATGGATGTGGGTGTTTTCAGGACCCGATGAACCCAAATGAAACAGTGATAGTTATCCGGAGCCTTGTGCCAGGTGGCGTTGCTCAGGTTGATGGCCGTCTCATCCCAGGCGATCGCCTGCTCTTTGTCAATGACACTGGATTGGAGAATGCGTCACTGGATCAAGCTGTCCAGGCACTGAAAGGAGCCCCTAAGGGAGTCGTACGAATTGGTGTGGCGAAGCCTCTGCCCATACCTGACAGCGTATCCCACAGTCAGGTAAGCGAGGACCTTGCCCCCCACTGTACACCCACCACCACTACCACCACGCACCACGTCGAGTACTACTCAGATGTTCACCAGCAAGGGGACCAGGGGGGGCTCGTCAAGTCTGAGAGCTTCTAGCATGGCATTATGGTCAGACCTCAGAGGGTTGGGAAAATCAAAAGTACTCAGTAGGTGGACCAGAGTAACACATAGTACAGTATTTATTGTTAACTTCATGTCTTGTGAAGCATCTGTGGCTTTCTGGTCATTTTATTAGGGATCGTGATAACAATCAATATTTAATGGACCAATTTTTACTTAATTAGATGTAATAATATTCCTTATAAACTCTTTCTGTGATGGGGCAGTCGGCACTGGTGTAGGGGGCTGTTCCCCATAACATGAGGCTTCGAGTATTTTGCATGAAGTAGGAGTGGAGTGCCGATTAAACGTTTTGCAATTTTGGAAAAATGAGGGCCTGTTGATTAAAATTGTGATAACAAGGGAATCTGGCACCCCTTTTTCCTGTACTTTGTTTTCACAGAAGCATGCGCGGTAGGCATTACTGATTGAGTTAGCTTGCATCGCTCACTCCTGCTGCAGTTTTGCAGTTTTGTAGCATACTAATATATATTATTTGTAGACTTTTATTGACTTTTAATTGAATCACAGAAAGAACCTGTTGCCATCTGTCATTGTCATTGTCAATTAAATGGAGAATGTTACCAACTCGAATCAGTGTTAAGGTGCTTATGGAAGTGTAATAACAAAGCTTGCAGTGTGATTTCTATAAAACCCACATCTTACATGAAAATCTATTTTTCTTTGTTGTACGTGTATAATTTGTAAATTTTGTTGGAATCATAATAAAATTTTCCACCCGTAAAACATGGACATTTTTTCAAGTATAACCTCCCCCACAGTCAACTCCATTAATTACATAAATTCAATTCCAGACAATTTAACCTTACAGTGATCCAACTCCATGTAAATAATGAACCTTCATAATAAAACTGTACAGGGAACTATAACAAAACACAAGTATTCAAAATTGCTAAATTGTAACTTAACAGTTGTTGTCCATATTGTAGAGGCAGGTCATGGGTTGAACATTTCTGTGATGTACTCACTTGTTCTTTCCTCCAGTCTGCATGGCCGTTTGCAGTTTTAGTTTCCTTTCTTGGCTTCCTTCAGACTGTGTGGTTTATTTATTTATTTGCTAACAGTATTTATTTTCATTTGATAAGTTCGTAATTCTGTTTTCACTCACTAAATTGTGTGTCACTTGTAAGGCAGACACTTTCATTTGTGTGGGCTGGGCTTGATGCAGGTAAGTTTTGGAACCACAGGTGTGGGACGGTATCTGCATGACGTGCGATAATGTGTGCATTGCATGGAGTGCCACTTCAGGAACTGTTCCAGAGTTTGCTGAAGTGCTTGCTTTTCCCACACTGCATTTACTTCTAACCTTTGAGCAGGTGGTGGGTGTGTGTGTGTCATATATTTCCTGTTAAGAGGTCATCAGAGTAGGGCATGAAGTGTAACACATATTTATGGACTTGGAGGACATAGGTCACTCTGGTTTTACAGTTTTGAATACTGATCAACTAATTTTTCCAACTTCCACACAACATTTTGGCATGTCAGAGATGCTTGCTGTGTGCATGGATGTCGTGTTTATGTTAAGTGTTGTGCACCTTCAGTGTAGAAGGTGTTGTATATGTGTACAGGCTGCCCAAGAGAAAGCAATGCCTTTACTATTTGATTACTGTCAGCTGTTGTCTGAATACCTTGCCCACCTACACGGCATCAAAAGCAATTTAGTTGTGGGTTCAGACAAGATGTGATGACCATCAGACCAGACCCTTTTTGTAATCTTTATCAACAGGAACATGGACTGTGGGGTGGGTTCAGTTTTCATGGTACTAGTATTTGCACAGGAAGGGTTTATTTAGCAACATTCTCGTCATCTCACTGTGAGACATCAAATGCTCATATGATCAATGAATGTTGCGTTGAAAAGGACATGGAAGGAAGTGATCATGACCCTCAGCATTTGTATTCTGGGGCTGAGGAGAACCATGAAAACCCATAGGATGGTCAGCATTCCAGCTGAGATTCAAGCCACTCACTTCCCAGATACAAGTCAGAGCAATTACCACACAAGCCAACTTGCTTATTCTAATGCAGGTCAATATACGGACCTGTAATTGCATGCATTTGGTCCAAGCTAGTTGAGTTTCACTGGTCCCCCTCACATCACGTTTCGCTCTGGTGAATGTTACAACCTGAAGTTGGTCAGATAGGGAGGAATTGGGTTGTGATTTAAGACAGTCATCTAGGTTCATATTTAGCACATTCCCAGACCAATGTTGTGTAATGGAGAAGTAGTTCCAGTTTTGAAACTTATTCACTTGTAACTCAGTTCTCTGATAAGTGCAGTGATTAATCTCTGCTGCTAAACATTTTGCAGGTAAGTGTTGTGCATGAATTTTTCTGTTGTTAAGTTCTCAGCTGCACAGTGTGAAAGTCAGCTCCACTTTTTCATTCATCCTGTTGCACCAGATGTTGCTGTGGAGGTACTGTGAAGAGCTCTCCACTTCTTTTTGGCCTGTAGTTGAGGTGGCCTTTCTTCCTATACCTTTCCAGGATCTCCAACTTGAAGCCTATAATAATTGAGAGATTTCTTACAGGTTTTGAGTTTCTTGTGAGTTGCCAGAATTTCTAGCAACTTACTGAAGTGTTTGGGTATTGCCCATAGCATCAGATTTGAAGTGTCCACCAGAAGTGACCTGAATGTCCTCTTCCTGCACTGTCTGTGTCTGTCTAGGTCTGCTTTCTTGCTGTCTTGCCGGCTGTACTTCTGTTGAGTACCTTTCATTTTCCACCCTGTTCCACGTCCTCTGATTGTGTTATGATTGCTACCTTTCCAGGTCCTTTTGGTCTTCATGCCTTTTTCATGTCTTGCTTGCTTATTACAGTCTTTCATTTTCTGTTTTTTTTTCTTTCCTTCTTGCTCTTGCCGTGTCTTGGTTACTCTCTCCTAAATTTGAGTGTGTCTTTGCCAGTCTTGGTTTCTCAGCCAACCCAGATAGTCACATGCTCTCAAGCACCATCCTGTGGACACATGAAACTGCCAGTAGGTTGGTGTAGCAGTAACGCTCTAGAATTGTATTTGGGAGCTGTGTCTTTCAAATGTCAGCCTCACCAATGAGCCTTGCAGAGGTTTCTTATTGCTTATCGTGCTCTTAGTCCCTCAAGGCAGATGCTGGAATTGTACCTCAATCAAGCCGTGACTCCTTTCAGAACCTTATAAGTTCATCCTTTGCTTATTGTACAAGTCTCTATAGCATGTAAGATAAGCCACGTAAAGGCACAATGCATGTGTTGAGAACTGGCTACATAGACTGAAGTTCTTTGTGGTTTTACTTATTTTCTCCTGGAAAACGCAGCGTAGTATATAAATATGTCACAACCACAATCCATATTCCCCCAAAATAATATGCTGTGGTTGCCCATCTCGTTCAGCATTTGATACTGTGTAATGAAGTGATGTATAAACATGAATAGAGATTCCAGTGTTTGTGCAAGCTCAGTCTATAGAGGAACTGTGGTGGCGGTCTGTGCTGTGCTTACAAGAAGATGCTTGAAGGAAGGTTGTTTCCCAGTATTTGCACAGAGAGAATCAGGGCCGGAGCTCTTTGATCATCTGTTTGAAGTACACGAATATCTGGTTATGGAGGTGGGAGAAATGTGGAAAAGACTAAAATTTGAGGTTCTGACTGTGACATCACTGTTATCAGGAATGTGACACCATGTAGTGTGGTAGATATGTACAAATGTTTCAGGGGAACTACTGCACCTCCATCTGTCACTCTGAACACTGACAGGAGGTGGGTAGCCAGGCTGGTGGACCACTACCCTGACATTGATATATGCAGAACTGCTAGTCATGGGCCTGTGTATGGTTTATTTAATAATGCCGACAGTAGGTCAGAGTGGGATGATGAAAGGGGAAGGATGTGGAACTGAGCAGGCCTAATGTGAGGTATTGAGGTATTGAAGGGACAGACCAAGATTTGAATCAGTCACCTCCGAAATACAAACTGGAATCAGCACCAACTGAGACACCTTGTTCACACAGCAAACACGTTGACATGAGGGGTAACATTAATGTGTTTAGCACCGATATTGAGGGCTCCTTTATTTTTAAACTGAAGTGAATAAACAGAAATAACCATGATGACTGGCAAGTGGTTGAAGAATGAACATAATGTTGAAGCTTTTCTGGTTTACTTTATGATATTTGGCTAGGTGATTTCACTCTTGACAGATTGCCAACCAAACAAAGTGTTACAGTTTCAGAGTGTCGGTGGATAATGTGTTTGAGCTGTTGGCATAGCCGAGTTGATGAGAAACTTGTGTGTTAAGGAGTTGTGTTTATCTTGTTGTTAGTTCTCAGGCTGGTCTTAATTATCCCAACATCAGCCTTTCAGCAGAGAGTGAAATTAAATTAACAGACAGTTAAAACAAAAGTGCTTGTACTGAACTTCACATCCTGTTTGGCAGGCTCTGTGTATCTAGAAAGTCTTGCAGCAGCCCAGCGTAGTGGAGGTTTCTTGGTTTTGTCCATCTTCAAGTGAATGATGAGATGGTTCCCAAGTTGCGAGTTGCTACTGCATGCTTCTCATGTACTCGTAGGTGTCATGATTTAAGTCTATCAAAATCAAACCCATTGCTTTGAGGCCACAAAATTATGTAATTTGTCATTAGCCAGAAAATTCTGCACCCCTTCTTTGAAGCTGAGGAACTGGGATAGTGCAGTCACTTTATCGACTGCCTACAGGCTGGATGACTGAAGGGTCGGAGTTCGAGTCCCGGTAGCGTTAATAATTTACTTTTCTCCACACCATCCAGACTGGCTCTGGGGCCCACCCAGCCTCCTATCTAATGGGTACAGGGGCTGTGCGTAGTTGGTTGAGGGGCTATGCTACAAGACAGAAGGTTGCGGG